TATCTTTATTGCAACAGACTAATTGACTACATTATGCACTACCTGTAGCGACATCTGATTTAAATAGTCACATAAAAAAAAATTACAATGAAAATAGTGTAAATCAGATGCTCTACAAAACTACATATTTTATGTTCTTCTATAATGAGTTTCACACGCAAGATATTGCTACACTACAAGTGTCGAAGTAATTTCAAATGAGTTTATTGTACGCTTGTCTTGACCTAAATTCAAAATGACGTCGCTGTAAGTAACATATGCTAGACGTCGTCAGACTAACTCCGGTATTCGGATCCATCAAAAAGATTTGATATGTGAAAAACTATCATTTTGAAATAAGGGAATTTTGTAAATAATATGAGCTTTTGAAAATGAGTTTCATCCTAACTGCATAGATGAATTTGCATTCTGTAGTCCACTCGATGATTCATTGCACTGTAGCTATAGACCTAACTACTATATATAAAGAACAAGTGAAAAAATCCGTAAAATAAAATATCCCATAGATGATAATACACGAGAAGGGAGAGTTACTTATGAGAAGTCTATAAAATGGATTATTCCATAGATGATGATACACGAAAAGGGAATAATCTATACAACGAAGGAAACAAAAGAAAACGAAAGGAAAAATCCATCACACATCTCGAATAGTAATGGAAAAAATACCATGAATAAAAATTGAATAATAGAAGAGAGGAAAAGTACAAGAGAGAGAAGACAACATACGACGACCTAACAGCACAATAGCTTGTTATTGTATTACCTTAAAGGAAATGAGAATGATACATTAATGCAAAGTTAGAGAATTTCATGAATGTGAATAATCTGAAAGACCATCATTCGATGTTTTTTAGCTTGCTGTCATGCTGAGTCAGTGCCGACCAGAAAAGAATGATCAGTTAGTAGTTTTGGATTTAACAAGCTTTGCATAAGAAGATATGAGTAGAACAATCTAATTATATTCTTAAGATTTTGAGTCGAATTTAGAATATATACGATAATAATAAAGAAATCGAACTAGGTCATCATTAGTAAAGCAACATAATCAGATTTATTGATTTTGCTATTAAGACTATTGAAATAATGTACAAACTTTAAAAATGTCGAAGGTTGATGCTAATATAATTAATTTTTATTTTACAACGAAATAAAAACAATACGTGATACATGAATGCTAATCATAGCTACAGAACTTTTTAAAAAAAAGTAGTATCGTTATTATGATGCTTTGAGATACACATATGATGCATTTCATTATTTGACTAGACGATTGCTTGGATTTCATATAAAGTCTTTGTAATTTTTGTTTCTTACGATATTCGATGACTTTTTCGTGTAGTAGTAATCAAAACAGTTTAACATGTGCACATACTTTTCAAAAATATATTGTTCTAACATAATATACTTTTCCGGACAATAATGGAAGTAAAAATGAAATTTGATTCTATACTATATCTGAGAAAATTTGACAGCGGAGTACATAACTTTTTCTTGTGTTTGAAGACAACATGACTTCTGTGCAAATTCTCTAATTTCTTCTTCTTACGAGTTTTTTCTAGTCTTCACATATTCAATGATATGCGAACTTTGATTTCAATAACCATTTTTATGTAGACTTGAATAGATGCAAATGAAAATGATACGCTTGTCACGCTGAAAGATATCTCCTAAGAACATGTATTTGCAATATTGATCATTTGTTAACATAAATTCTCACAAAAATACATGAGAAGAAATATTTCAAAAACTATCTTAACAAGTAATAAATAATAACTGTTTTCTCATATAATTTTTGTTTTACAAATATTACCATATGCAAATATATGACAATGACGTGCTCGAAAAATTTTCCGGAAGAGGGGAGGGATCAATCCCTCTAAAGGTTAGACTAATATGGTGAAGAAAAAATTTTCAGTGTGCACAATTTTCTTTCCCTGTACCTCCCTTCGACTATCTTCCCTCAGGGGGAATGAATCCTCCTTGTGGACACGTCACTGACACGTAACGTCGTAATTAAGTATTTTCGTGTGTTTTCATACTAATTAACATAAAACTACAAAGTTAACAGTAAAATGTTATAATGAGAATGCTGATAATTTCATTAAAATTTCCTTGAAACATTTTATTTACAGTTGTCGTTGAGTGATATTTTCAAAATATTATTCATAAATTTAGAAGTTTACCGTAAACGTAATTGTACTGCTAATTAAAAAATAATGTGCATAACGATGACATGATGTATTTATAAGCAATCTCTAATGATAAGTATATCTTTAGTAGGCTCTAAAGATATCCACATGATGTATATTTACTATAATAACACTAAATAGAATTTTTTATCATAAAGTAAATAGAAGTTTGCCAATATAATCATAAAACTGATTATCAAGAATCATTTTCAAATTTGTTTTGTTGAATCTATTCAATATATTTTTTAAATGCTTTTTGATGAATCACGCTGCCATTTATCCACTAAATAACGGATCACTTTTGATTTGTCAATCGTACAGGATTTAGCACAGTCATTTCTTTCTTCTACTGAATTGCCGAAAAAGTTGTTTCGCAACATGAGAGCATCAAGACAAAAAAAAAAAGAACCAATAATGCTCTAATCGCGCATGTATACTTATCAAAATGTGATGGCAGTGTAGACGAATCAGAGAATTGATTGCAATGAAATGAAGAATACAGCATCTTCTAGATCTGTACATACGTCATTTACATGAAAAGGTTGAAAAAAAAAATATGAAAAAAATCCAAAAGTTTTTCTCTTTCATTCTGTCTGATCTATAGAGACAACTGTTAGCATAGTGAAGATGTACGTATACATATTTTCAATGTTTCTTTTCTTTCTCGAGAACTATATTTAGAGTTTTTGTGTTATTGTCAAATCCAAACCACCTGATTCAAATACGAATATTGTTTACATCATTATAATCATTTAAAGTATAAATAGAATATTCACCTATTTAATTATAAAATGTTATTATTATTATTCATTCACATGCAAAATTTGATATATATATATTTGTAACGAAAAGTAACACAAAAGACTTCATTTTTTTTTTGAAATAATCAAGATCAGACTTATTTTTTGAATAAAGTATATATACTAGTTAGTAAAATAAATTTCTTTGCCTATTTTTATCACTTTTAACATAACACACGATTCGTATTTTTCAATTCACTAAATAATAACATAAAGAGTGAAAACAAAATGAATGTTTATCATCAACTAAATTGTGCAATTTTTCTGTCATATGCTATCTTTAAGTAATATGACAATCATATATGACAACGTCGTATTTTACTCTCATTTAGGTAACAATCTATTGATGTACACTTGTTTGGCTAATGAAAAACATTAAAGACGAGGGTAACTCGTTATGCGTAGTTTTTCTTTTCATTCATTGGTTAGTGATTGACAATCTATCTAATTTAGTCTGAAGTACTGCGTTGATTATAATCAACATAAATCATTATGTTGTTGTTTTTTTCCTTTCTTGACTTGTAAATGAGGCATACATATTCGTTTTGTGATAGCTACGAGAATTAATATATGGAGAGATATAATCAAACAATCAATTGATAATGATGTTTAAAAAACAATGATGTAATTATACTAATATAGTTGTCGTACGAGGAACTACCCAAACTGATATCCGCCGTTTGCGCGCATATTGGATTCACAAGAAGATTTTGGTAAAGCTAGAAAAATTCGAAAAAAGTTTGTGCTCATGGGTCTCTAAAGCCAATTTATGATTGTTTTACTGAATTTTCGATCTAGCTTTAGGTATTTACCGAGAAATGAAATATCGATAGTTCGACCTGAAATTTCGCCTATAAATAGTTCAAATTAATAATAGAATATCATGAATGGTTTTATTAAAAAGAATGTTCCTTTTGTCACGATATTAAGTTTACAAAAATAAAAAATGGTTATTTGCTACAGATATACCATTAAAATCGAATGAACTCGAAAATTCAATATCTCAACAAAGGAATATTCTTTGCACGTGAAATTCTCGGGATTTCTTAATAGTCATTCGATCTTTTTATAAGGAAAATTTCAGATTGAAGTACCGCTATTTGATTATTCAATAAATACCCAAAGCTGAATCGAAAAGTCACTAAAATAGTCATAATTAAGCTGCAGAGACTCATGAGCACGAACTCTTTTAGGCTTTTTCTATTATTATCGAGTCCTGCTTATGAATCCAATATGAGCATAAATATCGGATATCAGTTTGAATAGCTCCCTCGTTAGTAATAAATATTATAGCATCTACGTTTCAATTTTTTTTTTCGTTTTCAAAAAAATTGAATCGAACGGTAACATCTCTAATTGCAAAAATGAAAGAAAGCAAATTCGTTCCAGTACACTAAATATTTAATATTTTTTTATGAAGACAAAAGTATCAAATTCTATCATTGCCATGATTATTGGTTTTCTAGGAATTATTGATTGATATTCGAATTGTCGTCGTGTCATATTTAGATTTTAGACGAAATGAGCATTAAAAAAAAATCTATCTAGTGTCAAAATTGAAAACGAAAATTTAGTTATTTTCTAAATATGACTTTGATAATGATATCCTGATTGCAAAAATCAACTCCCAATAGCTATCCTCTACATGATTAGGTGACCAGATTTTTTCATTTTTATTCAATGTTTTTCTTTTTTTTTATTTAAAAACAATTAATAAAATAAAAAAACAGAAACATAAAAATAAGATATCACAAAAGTTGAAAACTCACATGTACTGCGTAAATTGTTGTTTTTTTTAGACTTACAACTAATTTTCTATAAAAAAATTTAATATGCAATGCAATACATGTATGATGATTCAGACAATTGTTATATTGACAATCAAAGAAAAAATATGAAAATAGGCATAAATATTTTAAAATAACATCCGAAGTAAAATATAAAAAATAATACGAAAGAAATAAATATCTATGCACAGGCGAATATTATTTTTATTTTTTTTTGTTTCTTAGTATTGTTTTTGTTTTTGTTTATCAGTTTTAATCAAGCCTTTTGTACGTTTAAGTGTTAATGTTTTTCGAGGGGATGAAGTGGGATATATACCGGTAGCTGTAATGAAGTCAAAAGGGTCGAAATTCCTGGGTATTGGTACTGAAACAGTAGTTGCATCTGGATCATTTAAACGAAGTTCAGCTAATTCTTCTATGAAAAATTTAAAAGAAATAATTCAAAAATAAATTAAAAATAACTAAATACATACGATCTAATGATCCTTTATATAAATAGCTTGCTTGATGTAATTCTTCTCCTTTATAGTAAATAAGAATATTTACTTTCATTGTATCGAATTGTGGAAATGGAAAGGCTGGCATTGGAAAATAAATAATATTACCATTTTTAGTGAAATTTTCTACTGAATGATACCAGCTATTTAAATTTTCAATAATTTCAATTTTTAAATCATTTTTAAGGATACGGCCCTTAAGAACAAGATATACCATCTCTTGTCCACACATTGGACCATATCGTGGACCCATGTGTTCAATTTCAACATCACCGTAAGCTAAAGCATTAAAAAAAAATTTGTTAAATTAAAAAAAAAAAAGAATTCTGAAATCGGTTTTTCATACCTTCAATCATAATAGAAGAATATTCTGTACTACCTTCATCACGCTGAAATTCTCCTTTTCCCACTTGAAAGATACGTGTAAAGCGAAACATTGACTGTTCAAGTTGTCGCGAACGAATTAGTTCCTTTGTTATAATATTATCTTGTTTACTTTTAATCATTTCAATCATGAAACTATTAACAATAAAATATACAAGTTTAAAATGTCAATAAATAAATAAATAAATAGCTACGTTTTATATCCATTTTGAAAATCTTCATTTGTTAAACGAAAGTATAAAACATTTTGTTCATTTTGTTTAAAGATTAATGCATGATCTTCGTATGTATCTGAACTAGTTTTATTATCAATAGAATATGGATGGGGCTGTTTGTCAATGCCCATGAGAGTAACCTCAATAAGATTTACATCCGATTGAAAATTCCACACCTCAGGAATCTAATAAAGTAGAAAAAGAATACGATTTATAATATATTTAAGATAGATTGATCAATTTTATACCAAAACTGTTGGGTATTCAGGCTTGATTCCTTCTTCACATCGTACATAGTGTGCTGAATTTTTACTTTCATTTTGTGTTCGTGGACGGTATTTTGTACGTGGTTGACATTTAATTTGAATTTTCTTTGATTCTGCAGCATCATATTCAATCACTAAAAATATAGAATTGAAATAATCATTAAATAAAATAACAACAAAGAAAGTACATACGTTGTTGTTCATATGCAAAATCATTGTACATATGTACAGTAGTGCATGGTTGACAACCACTTGAATCTAGAAGAAAATAATTATTTATTATTTTTTGTTGTTGTTGTTAATCTATTATTAAATTTAATCATACTTAGAACGTAATCGATAGGGGTAACGGTTTCTGAACGTTGTTGATGAGCTATAAATAAATTATAGTTTTTAAAATAGTAAATATATAATTAATATACTTTTGGCTTTTTTCGATTTTGCTTCTTTGATTAATTGTTGTTGTTGTTCAACAACAGCTTGTGCACAAGTTGACACTGAAATATGATAAGAAAAAAAAAAAAAGAATGAAAATCTTCAAATTCATATAGTTAACTGGCTTACTAAAGTCAAATTTTGGTTCCACTGGTGAATTATCAACTGAAACAGACCACGGTGGTGAATATGCTAAAACATAATAAGCATAAAACTTGATGAAAAAAAAATGAAAAACTTGAAAAACTTACTCCATGGTGATTCATTGATATATGTTGGGATATTATTTTCGACAGAAATACTTTGTTGGAATTGTTCTGTTTCATTTGATTCAGTTTTAAGTGAGTCAATTATTTTTCTTAAATCATCATTATCAATTGAAGCACCAATTAATGTAAAAGGATCAATATCTAAAACAACAACAAAAGAAAAATAATATAAAGAAAAATAAATTGCTAATATCGTTTTAATTTTTTTGTTTTTCTTGAATGTTGAATTTCGAATCTAACGAATATTTTTAAAATTTATTTCAAATAGAAATATGAGTATAATTTAATGAACTCTTAAATGTAATAAATTGGTATTCATATTTTATCTAAGATAAGCATATAAGTGAAGTTTCATATTTGCTTTTCTTTCAGGTGAAGTTTTACTGATTAAAAAGAAATATGAAGATTAGAAAATAGGCAACTAGGTTATCAAAGTTCGCTTCAAAATTGAGAACATATGTCTGTCTTTATATGTATATCAGATTAGGACTTACTAGCATTGGATGAATCAATAAGAAGATTGATATCGTACTGTTCATCATTGCTGTTTGAATCCATGGTAATTGACATAACATCAGATGTGCTGGATGGCAACATGACAATGTCCGCAAGTATCTGTACGAAAAGTCATATTAGTTAATTAATTATATTCTCTATTTTTGTATCAGACATACCTTATCAAATTCATCATTAGTGGATACACCTGACATTGACAATGGTTGTTCTTCACCGTTAGGATTCGTTATTTCGGTCGCTACTTTAGGAAAAGATTCCATGAATGTCGTGTACAATCGTAATGTATTTGATTGATCTACAAGTTAGTAAAATCTATTTGTTTATACTATTCAACCAAGGCTATTTATTGAATCAATAGAGATATGATAAACGGGCCTGGACCATAAAGTCATAAGAGTGGTATTTATCCCAGGGGTAAATTATCGTCATGCTGATTGTGTCTACCTACGTATAATGAGTCGCAGGTGTGGTAATTTGCCTATGTATAATAACATGTAGTAAACACAAACAATATCGAGAACGATTTTCTTTTTTACTTTTTAAATAATTTGCTTGATTTGACCTACGTCCTTATTATTTTTTTCTATGATGATGCTTTTAATAGATTCAAGCAACCATTTTATCGACAAAAAAAACAACAAAATTCTCTTTCCTTCTCATAATTTGTGTTTGAAGAATGCCTATATAGACACTGAAAAAATAGAGTTAAAAGACAAAAAAAACGATAGACTCGTGAGGGTAAGCAAACAAATATACTTATTATGCCTATCACGATACTTATTTACGTCGGGTAAAAGTCTGGATACACTGTAAATAGAAAATGAGAGAAAAGCAAAAACATTTTACGTTTGAGAATATGTGTGATAGTTATATGCATGATTGCATAAACCCGAAAACATACATTTAGTATGTGAATAGTAGATAAAAGTTTCAACAAGAAAATATAACAATCGACATGAAAAAAAATGCATAAGAAAGTTTCAGTGAAAAATGCACATTTTATTAAACCAATTACAAATTTTACGCATAATTTTGTCACGAAAAATACTATTGAAAGTTTATATGTAAAAATAGGATATAAATATCACTGGTTTTATATTACCAAAGGCTGAAAGAAAAAAACATAAAAATGTTAAAGAAAACAGCCTGAATTGCTCGATTGATTTATTTGCCATCAAGGCATGAAAGGATTTTTTTAATGTACGCTTGTGATAGAAATGAAATTTATCGATGCATTGTTTGAGTAGACGATGAAAAAAGTGTTTCAAGTGCCGAAATAAAAGTTAAATTATAAAAGACTCGAAGTGGCATTGTGGAAGGTAGTAATGATTCAATTATTCGATAAAAATCTGTTGCAGACTAAAAGATGTAAATAAAACAAAATAATCAAATATGTACATATAATACTTACATCGAATTTTATTTTATATAATTGCCAAAGTGTTGCACCAGTAAAGTTTCTTAAAGCATTTTCAAACCTAAATATTGAAAACGAAATAATTTAAAAAAAAAAAAAAGAAGAAAAACATTTCATATTTACATTTCAAGTTTTTCTCGATTTAACCATTCAATAACATCATAAGCAGACCATTCATGAACATTTTGTGAATGAAACAATGAATTATTCATTGTAGTTATTACTTGATTATTAACAGGCATTGCAACTAAATGAAAATTTTAAGAAAAACAAAAATCGTTTTTTTTTATTTAAATAAAATTATTATTTTATTTACTATTTCGAACATTTGGATCAGCTCCTAATGAAATTCGAACAGCTTCAATTTCTCTTAATAATAAATTAAATGCTTCATCAAATGGAAGTAAAGAAAAATCAATATGAAGTTTAGAACCATTGATTATACCAAGCCATCCTAGTGGTTTATAACCTGTTTGCATTAACATTGGAACTGATACTTTATTCCGTTCAACAGAATATTCAGCTTCTATAAAAAAACAACGAAGGAAAAGTGCAAAAAAAACAGTTTGATACGATTAATTTACCTAATCGACAGTATCGACTTTGATAATACGATTCATTGATTGCCATTAAAACAACAAAAGAATTTTCAACAGCAGACGCTATAGATGTAAGAACATTGCCAGACATATTATTTTGATCGAACCAAACGGTGTAATTATGATTCTAATTTTCAAATAACAAAATTAAAATCAAAAAGAGAATCATAGGTGAATATCCCATGTAACAAAAAATGATGCAAAAAATTGATTATAACTTGATTAAAATCATACACCTTTAATCGATTAGTAATCAATTATAGACCATTTATAATCAATGCACAACATTACAAATCTGGATTAATTTTCTACTCCTTCTAATTAGATGAAATTGATCAAAAGTGATTTTTCGCATGATTTTTAATCTATTTTAATCCAAAATAATCAGAATATAGGATACAATTTTGGGTACTAGGACAATTCGTTGCGGGACAATTCATCGCGGACAATTCGTTGCAATGACATAAGCCAATCCAAATTAGTATCTACTTTTCAACAATGAAACAACTTATTCAGTTAAATTTAAAACATGTAATTCAATGGGTTTACAGGATTTACTGTCCACGGATTTACTGTCCATTGATTGTTTTTCTTAGAAAATTGTTTTTTTTTTTCTACAGAAAGTATAATTTTTGCTGCTGAGGATTTACTGTCCATTGATTGAATAACTTTTTTTTTTCAATTAGCGTTTGTCTCGTTTGAGGAATTACTGTCCATTGATTGCCTTGAAGNAGTTTTTTTTGTAGTGACATCGATGTCACTACAAAAAAAACTTTTAATGAATTTCTATTTTTAAATCTTCACGTTGGACGTATAAATTCTGCTATTTTAGGGAGCATCACCGGTTATTTTATATATTTAAAACGAAACTAGTCAAATTGAATCGTTGATTGATGCAACGTCGGGAATAGTTTTGATGATACCTCGTAATCGAAGGTTTTTTTACATCCTACTGACATTAATTATGAAGTAGGAAACGAATCTGATTTTTTTTGTCTTACTAGGATTCTTTATAGTGGACATCCTGAAACCAAAAATCGAAGTCTAGTCATTAGTAATATTTCTAATGATTTTTATGGTCATTGAATTACATGTTTCAAACTTAATTGAATAAGTTGTTCCATTGTTGAAAAATACATACTAATTTTGATTGGCTTATGTCATTGCAACGAATTGTCCGGTCACCAAAATTTTTATATTTATGATTACTTTTTAATTATAATCGATCTTTTTGTGATTTTTATAAAAATGTTTTGACATGATATTTTTCTTACTTTCAACAATTTTGCAATTTTCGAACATATGAGTCTTGTTGAATGATTACAACTTATCATAATATGTCCAATATTATTTTTATCGTTTTTTTCAGTTCCAGTGAATTCAAATGATGTTGTTGGCAATGTCTCTGTGATAACTGATATTTCTTAATAAATAGAAAATATTTTATTTAAAATTTAAAATTTTTCTTTTATAAATACCATCTTCTTTATCTGTATATGGTACACATAAACTAAGACTATAGTTAAGCACAGGTCGTTTACGTGGCTCTTCTATTGGTATTGTTTCATTATCTGACATTACAGTAGAAAAATTATCTTCAATTGGATTAGTATCCTGTACTCTTGAAGAACTATCATCATCATCATCAGCAGCAGTATGTTCTTGTGATGGTAGTGGATGTAGAGAATCTATTATCATAGGAAAAATAAAACGAAATTTTCTAACAGAAAAAGTGACTAACTATCAATTGTATAAATTGTAGTTGTTTGTGTATGTGCAGAATCATTACCTAAAGTTTGGCATATTAACAAAGAGATTAGAAAACAAAAACAAGAGAAAAAGTGGTTTACTATCATCAGTGGCTTCTGTTGGTTGTTGATCTTGTACATCTGATTCGCTTTCATTGTCATCTATAGAAATATTATAAGTTTTAAGTTAGAGAAAATATTTTTTTGAAATTTCGACACTTAAATATTAGATCTATATAATTTAGAACTTTTATTAAATAGTTTTAATGCACGTTGGTAAATTCCTTTTTTAAAAATTGTAGTATTTCTTAAAGCTTTGAAACTTTTTCAAAACAAATAGTGATCATTTTTCTTTGATAAGTCTTATCTTTTATTATCTTGTTTTTGTTTTATCTACGTCTTTTTTTTTAATAGACAATTATGTAATATTATTTCTTCATCGAAATGTATAATCTATTAAATTTATAAATATGAGTTACATTTTGGTTTATTTTTTAAATAAAATTCATACATTCAATTCAAAAGTATTCTAGATAAAAAATAATTTTTGTTTAATATGAGTCATTAATTTCAAAGATGAAAAATCAAAGCAATTAATTTTAATTGATTCAACTCGAATAACTTCGTTGATGATGATTTCTAATTTACGAAAAAGAAAACATTCTTACTTAATTGATAACAAAGATCAGCCACTTTTTGTAAATCTTTCGTTAAATTTGACATTCGTTGTTGATATTCTTTAATAGAAAATGAAGACTATTAAGAAAAACAAAATATTTTGTTATTTGATTTAAGAATGTATAAAATAATAATACGTCTAAATCAAAATAATCTGACGTATTTGATTCATTAAGACGTGGCGTTGGCAACGGTGTTGAAAAGTCTTGAAAAAACGAAAATTTTTTTGAAATATTGAAACAGCGAAATAAACAAAAAGCAAAACAACATACATGCTCGTTCGGTATCAGTATCTTCCATGGTAACTAGATTGATGACTACAGAATAAATGAAAGCTCGGACTGATATCTACCGGCTTTATACAATCAGTAGTAAAGTTTAATTCTGAAATTATTTATATACATATAGATATATTAGTATTGTCGTATATATTTTATGTAGAATAAATGAAAAAGATAGACATAAAAAAGTCTTATGTTCTCTTTCATCATCATCAAAAAGATACACAATAAAACCAGATGTATGACAACCGAGAGTAATAAATGATTCGTATACTATATCGCAAAGTCTACATTTACAGTTCGAAAGAAAAGAGAAAATGTATTGTCATTCCTACTAAAGTAAATTGTTTTCTTGTTTTTTTTTCGTTTTATTTGAAACTAGATTATATCTATGCATTTAAATTAGTCTATATGTACACAAAGACTATGTCATAAAGAAAAATTAATGCATGATTTTTTATTTGTGAAAGAAATTACGATGGTAATATTTTCATATGCAAATCCAATAATGTAATTTCATAACATGTTAAAATTTGACTGTTTTCATTTATTCGTTGCTGCGTTTGAATCATTTGTTTTGCTCCAGCACGACTTTACATTAGCAGACACCATATAGAAGCTATGATAAGTGACACCTATACGAATTATTATTTATTTTCAGTAGTTTTATATATTTGATGACCAATAAAATAAAAAAAAGTTGAAATAGACCATCGTCTACTGCGTAATAGTGTTTGCTGTTTTTAAGCACAAAACAAATTTTTATCGTCTGAGCAGAACGAAATAAAAACTGAAAGTGAAGAGACCGTAGATGAATATATATTTGTTTTTCTTTTGTTAAAGATAAACATAAGCTTCAGGTAAAAAAAACAGTAGATAAGGGAAAAAAAGTAACAAAAAAAAACAAATCATAGACGTTGGAATGAATTATGATGAAAAGACACAAAAAAGCACTTAGTCAAAGTTCACTAGTCACTTTTTATCAGTAAATGAGTAACAACAATAATAAAAGTTTTGATTTATTTATTAGACATATTTTTTCTCATATTGATTATTATTGGTTAAATATCGAAGAGAGATTCATAATAATCAAAAGTTAAGAATTTTTCAAGAAGAATATTGTTTATTAAAGAATATATAATAACCCATTGTCGATATTAAATAAGAATTTTTGGTTCAGAAATACTTTCACTTATGGCCTTGTGTGGTAATATAACACCACCATTAATAAATAATTCATCTTGTACTGATACATCAAGTCCAAGTACACTCGTATTTTCCATACGAACCTTAAAAAAAAAAAAGAATTCTAATTCAATGAATAAAAAATAAATTCACTATTTACCCATTGACCAATATTACATCGCCAACCAATAATACAATTAGCAATCCATGAATGACTTTTGATTAATGAATCACCGAGTATTGTGCAATTTTTTAAACATACGCCATCTTGTACAATAACTCGTGGACCAATCACAACATTAGGTCCAATACGACATCGTTCACCGATTTTAGCTGTTGAATCCTATTTAAATCAAGTTATTGATCGATTGTTTGAATGAAAACAATAAATAAATAAATAATTAAGAAAATAAGTCTTACCACTAAAACATTACCAACTGTACCATTTTCTCGTGATAATCGATCAGAATTAGAATGTCGAACATAATTAAGATATAGACTCATTCCAATTAGATAATCTTTTGGTTGACCAACATCCATCCAAAAACCTATCAAAATTTATTCTTTATTTCAATGAAATTTGAATATAATTGAAGTTGATTCAAAAAATTTAATTTATCACACTAAAGATTTAAAACTAAATCTTTTATATATTCTACTATATTTTATATTGATTAAAATTCAAGAATATTTATCATATTTAATAATTTGCTAAAGTCTTTTAAGACTCTTACCTTTAAGTTCAAATGCATATAGTTGATTATCAGCAGCCATAGCAGGAAATATTTCTTTTTCAATCGATGTTGGTCGTAACTAAATAGAAAGAAATAAACTATTCAAAACATTATCTAAAAAACTGTAATGATTTACTTGAATTCTATCGAGTACACCTTTACTGAATATGTAAAGGCCAGCATTAATTTTATTGGAAACATATTCACGTGGTTTTTCAACAAATCGATCAATTTTACCAGTCTCTGTTTCATAGACGACAACACCATATTTCGATGGTTCCTCAACTTTAGTAACCTTGAAAAGTAAAAGAAAATGAACAGAATTAATCTTCTTGTTCAGATAACAAGTTAGTTAATGCGAACTATACAAGTGGGAAATTTTTTCCTATACCAATGAAAACGACACTGCGTTTTTCTCGTAATTCTTGCTGCAGCTCAAGACTTTTGGCAATGGGGAAATACTTTGCAAGTACTAATGAAATTTAGCATTTCCTGAAGAACAGTTTTGACCTCATCACAGAAACAACTTTTAATGAATTTCTGTTTTTAAATTTTCACATTTAAAGTGCAAATTTTGTTCGTTTATGAACCATCGTCTGCTATATTATATATTTAAAACTACACTAGTCGGATTCCGTCGATGATTCATACAATACTAGAAATAGTTTTGACGATATTTCGTACTCGAAGATATTTATATACTGTTGACATCAATTATGAAGTAGGAAATGGATCCAATCATTTGACTTCCTAGAATTCTTGATAGTGGTAATATTCCGAAATAAAAAGAAATCGAAGTTTAGCCTTTAGTAATATTTCCAATCACTTTTATAGTCATATGATTGCATGTTGCAAACTTGATCGAATAAGTCGCTTCATTATTGAAAAAAAGATAAATTATTATTGGATTATGTTATTGCGACGAATTGTCCGGTCACCACAGAGTACTAATTGTCTGTTTATGATCTCTTGTTTTTATTTTTAAACTATGTTTCATATTATATTTATTCAATATACATACAACAATAGTGCCTTCATAATTGTGTTCTTTATGGAATTTGATCATTTCATCGAATGGAAATTCACATATCACATCAGAATTAAGGACAAAAAATGGATCTTTCTCTACTTCAAGATATTGTCGTGCTAATGCCAATGGACCAGCTAAAAGAAAATATGAAATATTCATTAACAATGAAAGAAAAAGAATTTACAACTTCAAACCTGTTCCTAAGGGTTCAGTTTCTTGTGAGATTGATATCTTGATATTTAATCGTTTAGCTTCTACCTCCATTTCTCGTTGAAGCATATCTGATAAATAACTAACAGCTAAAATTACATGTGTAACACCAACCTAATTAATTAAATAAGACATAAGTTAACTATTTTAATAACTAGTTTGGCACACACATACTTGAGCTAATGCTTCAATTTGATGGAGAACCATTGGCTTATTACAGAATTCTACCAATGGCTTCGGTTTTGTTAGTGTTAATGGACGTAAACGTGTTCCATAACCACCGACAAGAATAAGTGCTTTCATCTTCTTCACTTATCGAATATAAGCTTTAAAGTTGTTTTTTTTTTCTTTCTTAAACTAGAACAAGACATATTACAATTTCACACTTCTTGTTTTTTAAATATATTGAAAAAAGAAAAGAAAAGGACGGAAGCCAAGACAATAAAAGGGAAAATAAGTATTAATTTTAAATTTAACAAACTATATGCTATTTGTATGCGTTAAGTTTGTAGTAAAATGTTTGAATACAAAAAGAAAAGAAGGAGAACGCTGATTGATTGTAAATGATCGCGAGAGATAAGATGAAAATTACGAATAAACTGTGCTATATGCATGTATATGTATATATATATATATATATGTCTGTAATTTGACATAGGAAAATATATAAATATTCATCCTACTGTTCAAAGCAAAGAAAGAAGAAAAAAAAAAAACATAAGATCACAAATTAAAAAAAAGAACATAAAAATCATTATTTGTCTTTTGTATTATTTTCATTTGGTTTGATACTGTCAATTACACGACCAGTTATTAAATCAACAACTTGATCAACATGTGTTTTACAAAAGAAACATTCTTTGCTTGTCATGAAATGCATATTAATACATGATCTATAAATATGAAATTAAAAAAAACAAATTGTAAATTAATTAATTTTTAATCAAAAACAAAAAGAAAAACAACTTACAAACAAGCTTGATGTTTACATGGACGAAATTCTGCTTGTATTTGATGTGAATAACAAATAATACATATTGATTCATCATTATCATCGGATTTTTTCGTTGTTTTAGCCAACATTTGATATGTATCATTTAATTTACGATATAATTCATCAAGATCGTAAGCTTCTGATCGATTTATTTCTGGTTGGGATATAAGAGTAAAATGTGGTGATGATGATGATGATGATGACGCTGAATTCGAGGCATCACTATCAGAGTCGTATATCAGTCGATGTAAGCAAGATAAATCAAGATCAACTTCATTATAAATAGCACGACATGCACGTGATGATCTGTGTTACAAGAGAAAACAAAATAAAAATTCAGATTTTTTTTTTTCGTTATGCTTCAACAAATATCATACGTTTCAGTGCTTGTTCGATTAATTAAATATACCAATATACCGCATACTGCTGAGAATATAGGATATGGTTGAATATTGTCTAATGCTAATGAGAAATAAATTTTTTTATTATATGTTCTGAAGAAGAATATTAATGACTAAATAGATTGAAATATAGTAACAAAACATTAAGAACTTATCAATATTAATAGAAAAAAAATTTTTTTTTTCGAGTTTTCTGCTAGCAAAATTTCTACTAACGAAGAAAACATATCAAATGATACTAACTTATCAAACTAGAGTCCTGGGTGAAAAAAATTTTTTCAAGTCTCGAATCTCGTTTGTTTTATTTTCAAACTACTTCGACTGTAAGTGCTCTACAAGACAAGACAAACAAGATTCTTTAGAATTTGAGGCTATTTTACTGAATTGTTGACTCATTATGAGATATTTATTTAGCAGTAAAAAAAGATAAAATTCCAATGAGAAAGTGGTGCCTATAGAAATGTCGAAATAATTCGTAGAATATTTTGAAAGTTTCAGTCGAAAAACAATTTTCGTTGTTGAGATATTTAATTTTCAAGTAAACAAGATTTTTGAGATGTGTATATGACGAGTGACTATTTATTGGAAATGCATTATCTCGACAAAAAAAATCTCTTCTTTTTGCTTGAAATTTTGAGAACACTTGACTAGTCATTAGATCTCTCAACTAAATACTACTCGAAATTTTCGCTAAATAATTAAAAACAGGTCGAAAATTCACTAAAACGACCATAATTTGACTTCAAGGATGAATCATTTCAAAATTTTGCTGGTCTCAATAAGATGTTCTTGTAGGCGCAATATGAGCTCGTGCGATGAGTATCGGCCGAGACGGTTCCCTAGTGAGCTCGGAACAATATTTGACATATTTTAGATCAAGATTCAAGGAAAGTCATTACTACTCATATCTAAAAGCAATAAATTTCCAAAAAAGAACGCTTTTTTTTGCATACGAACAGCATCCTGAAATCAGGATAACCTGAGTAAATACATTAAAAATTTGACTAAGTACCCTCCGATAGCATAATTTTCAATAGCTATCTTATTCATTTTCATAATAATAAATGTTTGTATTCAATACAGAAAATTACATCAATGAAAGAGCAAAATTTATCAAGAATAATTAACGCTTTACAGGAAGAAAGAACATCAAGCTTTCGACAGACGTCAAATTTAATTAGCAAAAAGCTTTCGATAAATGATTTTTCAGACTATAACGCCTTCTGATTTATTAATCTATTCATTTTACATTTGTTTTTACATTTATCATCCAGATTGTCATACAATAGATATAATCTTTATGATTAATTGTAAAACTTGCTTAATTAAATCAATAAATTTAAAAGTAAGACAGAAATTAATTCTTCTGACAATTAAATAAAATAGTTTGAGATACTTTGTTTCTACTTCCTTAGATTTATACAAATAATAAAACAATTTCTATTTTGAACGATTTTATTAATAATAAAATAAAAAATCAAACTTTCAATCATATTCTAATTTTCTTATTATAACGATCTAAAATAAATAATTTTTCGTTTCTTACCATACATTTTGAGTCGTTCAATATCTTCTAAAACATAATTTTTCGTTGCTAAACGATTGATTATTTGACCGAGCAACTAAAACAAAACAATTAAATAAAGAATAATTCTTAAAATTTGATTGAAAAAAAAATAAAACGTTGATTTTATACTTGAAGAAGACGAATAAGAAGCATTTCAGATTTTGTTGAATGTTTATCAAGCATAATAATCGGTGCAACACATATTGTCATTTCAATTGTACGTAATAGACTAACAGTTACATCAAAACAAGTCGAACATATTTTCATTTGTCGATGTTCAATTGTTGGCATATAACGAGACTTCGTTGGTACCAACTAAATCATAATAATATATTTATGAAAAAGAAAATTAAATGAAATTAATCTTGGTTTTTTTTTTTTTCATACATCTTTTAATAATCCCATAAATTCTGAAAAAGCCCAATTTAGTTGTCCTAATAGACTATTAAGAAATCCAATAGCATCATCAATATTATTTGATAAATATCGTCCAATTTCTTGTTGATATTTAATTGATGGCGATGAATCTTTATAAATCAAAAACAAAATTATTTTATTTTATTTTTATTGAATTTTTCTTTTTTACCTTGAACTCGATCTTTTCTTAAACTTTGTATAAATTTCGATGGATAAGCTTGTGAATAACGAAAACCAAAACCACAACCTTTCCAAAATCGAACCAATATTAAATTTGTCATTGCCCATGGACGATTAGCATATGGTGTTAATAAGGCTCGAATTAATACAGTTCGATTATATTCACGCATACCTTCTAATGCTCGTAATGAACCCGAATAAAAACAAAATGCACTTAATGATTGAGTCATATTATCACGAACATCTATTGAAATAAAACAAATATATAAAATAAAAAAAAAAAAAACTATAATGAAATATTTAACCTGAATTCACAATTCGAGTATCTTGCATATGATTAGCAATAAATTGTACAAAATCACCTGCCATTTCTCGACTTATTCCTGATTCTATTATTATTAATAAAAAAAAAAAAAACATTCTTTATAATTAAAATAATAAATATTTTCAAATACCTTCAGTAGGATAATAAACATTGAGAGCAGTAAATGTATTTAAATAAATATCATTAAGATAGATTTCTGGTACAAAACTAAATAAGTTGCCTGCTTCAGATGCTATTTGAAGAGTACGATAGACACAACGATGTAATATAACAATATCACGTCGTTTTTCCTAATCAGAAATATTGATTAGTATTTTTTTTTTGTTCGAAATAATAAAAAAATAATTAAATGATTTACATGTGAGAAAACATGCATTGTTATCCAAGCTATTTTACGTGTTAAATCTTCTGTTTGTTGTTCAAAGATTTTCTTTGATCGTAGAAGTTCATCACGAATTTCAGGACAATCATCTCGACAATTCATTAATTTATTATCAATATCAGTTAATGATTCATTATATTCTCGTAAGCTATCAATTACTTCAGCAACCTAGATGAAAAAAAAATGTATATATATATATATAATATGATTATGCTCGAGGCTAAAATAAACAACACATAAGATTCTTAAAGATTTAGTCCTTTTTGTTTTCGTTTTTAATTGTAATGACAGAAAACAGTATTCATGATACAGATTCAAGGTGAATTAAAGACGTGTAGGTAATCATTCGAAAAAGAAAAGAAAAGAATAATTGTTATAATAATAAGAAGCAATTTTTCGTCAAAATAAAAGATTTGAAGAACAAGTTCTACCATTTTACAAAGAAAATCATGCTATGTTGTTTTCAATTTCAACCTTTCTAAGTCATAAAGATTCTACTTTTCAGGAAAATATCCTATGGTGATCATGCTATACTAGTGTAAAAATAAATATGTTTTAGATAATTCTTTTTCTTTTACAAACTATGGAATCTAGTCATGTAATCATAAAGATTCTTTTTATAATATTATAATTTACTTTAAGATAATGCTTGTGTACACCAACATGATATAAAAGAATAAGTCCATCAAGTAATTCTGTTAAACTTTCTGAACCCGTAGCATTAGGTGATTTTAAATTATATCCCAATTGATGACGATAACGATCTCGTCCATTAACTAAATCAGCTAAGAAAAAAAAAAAATATATATATATAAAGTAAATATAAAAATTTTCATATTTCTTAATCAACTTACACATATCATCATGTCTTGATGATTGATCAGAAAAAGCTCGTGAAAGAAATGATGTTCCTAAAGATCTTGCTCGTTTTACATCAGCTTTAGAAAGAAAAACCAACAAGATATAATTAATTATTTTCTAAAACAAAATCATTTTTCTTTTATTACCTGAATATTCTTTTTCTAAATGACTTTGTA